GATCCGTACCTATATAGTGTGGTGAAAGCACAAGAAATGAACAAATGCTCTAATAATATTAATAAAGATTACCCTTGTCGAGCTGTTGTCATCTTCTTGACTGTTGTTATCCTAACGGTTGATATCTTGATCTCATTTGAATGCCCGTTCGTGATTGTCAAAGCTCAACATGAGCTCAAATTTAATCCTAAGGTAAAATGCAGAAAACGCTGTCCTTCTTGAATAGGCGCTGCGAATCAAGTTTTGTGATTGGGTGCAGCCTCTTGTAGCTTTGCGATACAGTTTATGTGTTATAGCGAGTAAGTTTCTTATCCCTCTGCTCTTCTGTCTAACTGGCTCCTAATTAGAAACTGCGAGAGCTATGGGCATCTTAAAAACAACTGAAGTTGTGTTTGAACAGCTTTTTTATCACAGAAGTTTGTCTTCCCACACCAAACTACACTTCATCTATCTAACCTATAGGCCAGCACGCACTTTCACAGCTCTCCATAATCTCGTTTGCTCATCTGTCAAAGTTTAACACCCTATTGCGTGGCTTGTACCATATAAAAAACCTTAGCTGGCAGCAGTCAAGAAGTCAAATATGAATTTCCGAGCCTTCTCGCAGCTCTGTCTCTTGGTTTCTGTTTTTTCTACTGCTTTCGCATTGGATACTTGTAACACCGAGGCAATAGGACGTAAGTTGCATGATTTTCATATTGAGTTGATCTCCTTTCAGCATGTCTTGACAACTTGTGCCCCACCAATTACACATGCACTAAGGATCACTTTTGCTGCTCCACACCTGATGTCAAGACCACAAGTATGTTTCCATTTTCATTTACTTATCAATTGCATATTCATTTGAAGCATGTGCTGACGTCGCACTAAACTGCCCCGATCTTTCAACCCTCTGTGATCATCCCCATTATGTCGCTCTTTTAACCAGTGAATGCGCAAAGACCTGTGGAAGATGTTGATCCGTAACTTTGTAGTGTTTTGAAAACACGTGGAACCAACAAATTCTCTAATAATAATAATAAAGATTACCCTTTTCGAGCTGTTGTTATCTTCTTGACTGTTGTTATCCTAACGGTTGATATCTTGATCTCAATTGAATGCTCATTGGTGACTGTCAAAGCTCAAAATGAGCTCAAATTGAACCTCCGGGTGTGATGGATTGGGTTATGGTTACTAGATGATTCCAGATATAGTTTATATATATACATGTGTTTTGAATAGAGGATCCAATTATGATTCGATGACCTTTGAACTGACCGCGAGAGGCTGCAGGGAACTTTACACTGCTGTTTATATGCATGAGCGTGGAATGTTAGTTTGTTGTCAATCTTCTGCCTTTACTACATCTTCTTCAAAACAGTTCCAGTCGTGTTTGGACAGCTTCTGTATCATCAGAGAAGTTTAACTGCTTACAGCAAACTACACTTCATCTATCTAGCCTTATACAGGCAGGAACGTTATTCTTACATCTTTCTATAATTTCATTTGCTTAGCTGTCCGAAGTTTACACCTTCTGACATGGTTTTTTTTGCATTTAAAAAGGTGTAGGAGAAACCGTTCCGCTCGAAAATGAACTTCACAGCCTTCTGCCTTCTCTGTATCTTGGTTTCTGTTTCTTCTAGTGCTTTCGGAGTGAATGGCGGCTGTACCTCCGGGACCACAGGACGTAAGTTGCCTGATCTCAATGTTAAGTTGATTGTCTTTTAGCATGTATTAACCAGATGTGTTCTAAAAATTTCACATGCAGCAAGGAGAACTATTGCTGTTACGATCCTCCATTGAAGGATACTTGTCGCTTTGACTTGAACATCGGACGTAAGTTATCTGATCTCAATGTTATGCTGATCAGTTTCCAGGATGTATTGGTGTTCTATGCCCTTTGGGTTATACTTGCACTAAGGCCTACCAATGCTGTAGCGATTATGATCCGACGATAGGTAATGTTCCATTTTTTTGTCTTATTATTGCATGTTTAAATGAAGACTGTGACGATGTCGCAACAAACTGTGCTAATTTGAAATCTCTCTGTAATGACTCCGCATACTTAACATTGATGACACAGCAATGCCCAAGAACCTGTGGAAGATGCTCTGGAACAGGTCCACCACCACCATCATCCCTCAGTAGTCTTATAGTTATGATTATTGTTTCAATCTCAGTTACTTTAAGGTGCTTGTGTTGACAAGCTCAATCCAAAAACAGGAAAGAATGATTGTCCGGGAAACGCTAGCCTCTGCAATGACGCCAGATATTACACTCTGATGACTGAACAATGCCCAAGGACTTGTGGAAGATGCTCTGGAGCAGCTACAACAACATCCTCTAGTAGTCTTATAGTTATGATTATTGTTTCAATCTCAGTTACTTTAAGGTGCTTGTGTTGACAAACTC